AGAATGTAAAGTAATGCATTTTGGGGTCAAAAACAGGCAAGAGGAATACATATTAATGGGTACTCCACTAGGGAAATCTGAAATGGAAAAAGATTTGGGGGTCATTGTAGACCACAGATTGAATAACAGCATGCAATGCCAGGCTGCGGGAAACAAAGCTAGCAGAGTACTGTCATACATTAAAAAGGGAATGTACTGTAGAGACAAATCAATAGTTTTGCCACTTTATAGATCACTGGTTCGGCCATATCTTGAGTATGCGGCTCAATTTTAGTCACCGATCCACAGAAAGGATGTCCTGGAGCTGTCCAAAGAAGGGCAACTAAACTAACTAAGGGGCTGGAGGATCAAATCTATGAGACAAGGTTGCTTAATTTAAACTTGTTCACGCTAGAAGGGAGGAGATTAAGAGGGGACATGATTTTGATGTACAAAATGTTTAGTGGTGATGGCAACATCAACATTAAACTTTTTACTGTAAACTCCCTAACAAAGACTAAAGGCCACCACCTAAAATTGGTGGAGAAAAGATTTAAGCACAAAGGGTATAGGGGATTCTCAGTCGGAGTGGTCAAATTTTGGAACTCTCTGCCACAAGCAGTGGTATCAGCTGAGAGTATTGATTAATTCAAAAATAAATTAGATAGCGTCCTAAGGGACCGTAACATACAGGGGTACAGGTACTCTTAAAAACTAAGACCACACAGGGACTCATATACACACATGCACGCACACACAACACACACACAACACACACACAGAAACACAAAAGTTGAACTTGATGGACCTGTGTCTTTATTCAACCTCAAATACTATGTAACATGCAAAAAAACACTTCAGTTGTAAAGAATATCAGGAAAAAAACAGCAGCAAGTAAAATCTGCCTCACAAGCAATTCAATGGCGTCACACAAGTAAAAACTGCTTTTTATGCTTCGCCACCTAATGCCATTTGGACAAAAGTTATCTTTATTATATCCTATGTCACACTTGTTAAGCTTAACTAGAGTGCAAAAAGCACATTCTGCATCCAGGGCAAAGCAATAAATATGCACTTCATTTTACGAGCTGTTAGCTCCTAGGTTGTGTCTACAACGCCACATATCACGTATCAGCTACAAAAACCACAATGGACAAAATTTGTGCTGCAGGCTTCATACGTCATATATATACTGATGCAAATTTGCGTAATGCATTTTATGAATTCAGTAGAGAAGCACTGAAGGAACATTAGTATTACATTATGATAAATGCTCTGCTGCAAGAGTTCATCAAGCTTAGAATTTATTTAGCGTATTGACTATGGAACAAGCTGTACTATTTACAGTACATAGGCGAAGTGTTCTGTATTCATAAATAGAAACAATTTCCCCTGAAATGGACAGTACAAGATACAATTCAAGGTTTCACTGGCCTTGGAAGAAGTGGCCAAATTTAAAAAGATTACACTGAACATTACAAAACATTATTATTTTGGCAAAACTTCAAGGAAACCTGTACTGTGAGAATATGGAGGAAAAGAAATGTACTATGTGCAAGGAGCACTTTTGTAACCCATGATCAGCACTCAGAACATTAATAATAAAACATGCCCATTTGTTATAAAAGTGGGTGTGTTATCCACTTTAAGGGCTTATTCACACCATCTGCGTTTGGGCTGTGCTGGCCGTTTCTCCCAGCGCAGCCCGAATGCAAGACAAGGCAATTTGCCGACATGCAGTACTTTTTTTAAACACACCACATTGAGACGTGGTACAACATTGTGACTTTTCAATAAAGTTCTAACAAAAAAAAGAAACAGTGTGATGCAGTTCGATCAAGCTCATTGGCACCAACCAGGCACACGCACACCAGCAGCCGCGCGGTTGAGCGCGGCTGCTGGTGTGAACAAGCCCTACTGTGTAGTGCTAGCATATTTAAAATACTTGAAATAAATGACTATATTTGTTAACCTAAATCTCATAATGTTAAAGAGAATATATAAAATCAGCATGGCAACTGACTCCTTCTAAGGAATAAATACAGAGGGTGCATATGTGACAGAGCCCATGACACTATTCAGCTCAAACATATCACATGGCTATGAGACCTGCTTAGCCTTCCTTGTAAACAGCTGTGCTTATTTAATAATGTAGTGCAAACTGCAGTGACTACATGGAAAGAGCATTGAACCACAACATCTAATCAGATTACTGTTTACTGTAACATTGGCAGAAAAGCATATGTTTTGATTGGTTGCTTCGGGTTTGCATGCAAATAAAAAAGTCACGGTACTTTGCACTACATTACAACAGTTAGTCTACATAAACAATTTATAGCATAATTTCTCTACCTTTTTTCAGTCACGGCAGCCTCAAACAGTATGCAAAATCTCAAATCTAAAATGTAAAAAAACGTAAATTTTAAAAAAGATTTGTGGCCTTATCCCAGGTATGGGTTTGGCATGGATTTTAAGGGGAGACCCTGCACTAAAAAAACAGTGGGGTTCCCCCTTTCACATCAGAGACTACCCTTTAACTCAGAAGCCCCCCTTCATCAGAATCCCCTCTTTCACATCAGAGACCTTCTTCACATCAGGAACACCCACTTACATTAGGAGTACCCTTCACATCAGAATCCCCCCTTCACATTACAAGACCTCCTGCTTTCCAGCTCCCTCATCAACTCCACCCATGCTTACCTTCAAGACTTTTCTAGAGTCTCTCCCATCGTCCGGAACTCTCTACCCCAACCTGTCCGGCTATCTTCTGTCTGCCTTTAGGCAATCCCTAAAGACACATCTCTTCAGGGAAGCCTATCCCGCCTCAACCTAACCACTGAACTATGCCTTTCTCCAGCAATTCATTCTCACATTGCTACCATGTTTTGTATCACTTACCTCTCCCTTTTAGATTGTAAGATCTCATGGGCAGGGCCCTCCTTACCATCTTAATTTGTATTGTAAATGTAATGTCTTCTTTATATTGTAAAGCACTCAAACTGTTGACACTTAATAAATCCTGAATAATAATAATTACAAGCCTCTCCAAACTTCAGTCCTTTTCTGAATGGATCCTACCCTCCCTGGATTAGCATCATTCTTTGTCATGGTGCTGGTAGCCGGCCTGCCTGCACCCTGAAAAGGCATGTGTGAAAATTTCAAAGCACCCCTAAGGAGGCCAAAAAACACCCCAGGGTGTTGAGAAAGACTTCTGTAGATAACACGAAGTTCACAGTCAGTGTGATAAATTATTCTAGATAGCCCATAGACCATTTGGTTTTTATGTAACTTTGCCTTTTGTTTATTTGAATAACGTTATCTGTCAGCTTGTACTTCTCATTTTATGCCACACTTCCCCCATTTGCTCCATGTTTATCTCATTGACACATTATTAAAAAGCCTACAGTTCATTTGCATAACATTACTGCTATGCGATTCTGAGAAGTGCTAAGACAATTGACTATCTGCATGTCATCTGTGTGAAATGTATACAGCGTTTCCACAGAGCGCTGACTGCTGTATATGTCAACAGCAATCATGACAGCTGCTGAAAACACCATTTTACATGCATCATTTAATTATAGCATATGGATCTAAATGACACATGAGCAAATGCAAGGATAAAAGCAACATAAGGCCCAGCTGTAATCTAACTACATGTTTTATATATCAAGGGGGCTCAGTGAGGGTAGAGTTGCATTATCTGTATAATAGTATGTTTATATACAGTATGTAATGGTAAGACATAAAGAAATGCCACATTATATTAGTCCCACATGACAAGAAATCAATTGTAAATATGTCAAGGGGTTCTATATAAATCTCTCTGTTAGAGTGTATTTTTGAGCAAACACTTATATCCCACCTTCCTTGGTCTTTTCATGAAATTGATCAATGTAATACAAGATCTAAGGTGCAAAGAAATACACCTCTTCATTGCTGTAGCCTGGCCAAGGCTAGGCATTGTTTACATCATGTGTCATTCTTACTCTGTAAGTTGGGAGTAGGTAGGGCTTGACCCCAGAGAACAATGGCCATATGTCAGCAGTTTAGTACAGGCCTCTGGGATGGCAATTATTCCCTATGGCCGGGCCTTGCACATGTGCGTCTTTACTCAAAACGCTGGGAACAGTGCGTGTTTTCAAAGACTGCTTGGCCTTAGGTTGAAGCAGCAAAAAGCTATATGACCTGCAGATTAGGTCTGTAATTAGAAAGGTATATTGGCCTGCAGATGATGTTTGTAAATAAAAAAGGTATATTGACCCGCAGATGAGGTTTGTAATTAAAAAGGTGTATTGGCCTGCAGATGAGGTATTTAATTAAAAAAAAAAAAAAGGTATATTGGCCTGCACATGAGATCCATAAATACTTTTTACATTTAGAAATGTGTTTAGGAAAGCATGGTGGATAGACATTAATTGCTCTTTTTCTCCAAATTACTGTAGGTCCAAAGTTTAATCACACTCATAGCAATCATTCATAACTCCATTTTCAATAGTCGTACTGCACTACATGCTCAGAAGGGTTGTTTTGTAACAAAGTTACTTCCTAATTTTAGGTTGTGTTTGTGAAACAAATAACAGAGAATGTTATATAGATATATATATATACATATATATATCTATATTACATTCATATTCAAGTAATGCAAGACAAAGAGGCAACATTCAGTACAAAGTCATAATTTATTCTATTCTGTATAAAAAAGGTCATAGTTTTGTATTAAAAAGTCTTCTCCCAGGAGAAGAAATATATTATTTTGCATCATAAATAAATCGTAGCATATATACAGTCGTCAGCAAACTCGGAAGGCTTCGGCCTAGTGCTTTTTTCGTCAGTGCTTTGGAAACTGAAGCTGGTCTTGAATTACAAACAGGAATTACAGTACCAAAAAATACTGAGGTATTTCTTCTTTGCTTCGGTATAAAAAAAAAAAAAAAGCTGAAATCTTAGGCTTCTGAAGGCAGGACGAAGCTAGTAAAATAAATAATAGGACGTACATTTTGTTTTTACAGTTCATAGGCAGCAGTCTCTCTTTCACTTTCACCAGTACAAAAAGTTCAGGAATGGAAATACTGTCGAACCTCCATTAAACGGAGGTTATAAACAAACACGTAAAAAGGCAACGGTGACCTGTCTTTTTTTATATCCTTAGCCATTAGGACATACACTCAAAATCTCGACAAGTCATGTCAGTTTTAAGCTGCTTGTGGTTTCACCAGCTCATGTGGTTTCAAACACGTCACGTCTGGTTGATGTTGATGGCTTAAAAGCGACAACAATAAAAGTTCATCATTAAAAGTTCTTAAAAATTATTGCACTTTGTATAACACATACTGTCCATGTGCTTCAGCTTGTCCCACCTCAGCAGCTTGGTGATGTAGTGATAGGACTCTTAAGGTAACTCAGAGAGCTTGCCGCAGGGTGAACGGGGATGGAAACTGGGAAGTTAAAGACTGTAGTAGTGGATGTTCCTCTGTCCAAAACTGATATTGAGGGACTGCCAGCCTCTGCCGAACAGGAAGGTGCTAGTACTTGAGATTCAAACTGAAGGAGCTGTCCCATGAAGCTGAAATTAGGGGAAATGATGCTCCGTCGCTGCTTGACAAACTCAAAAGCTTCATCCAGCTTCACACGGTTAGTCCTCATCAGATAGGCAAGGCAGATAGTAGCAGAACGTGAAATACCAGCTTGACAGTGCACAAACACTCTGCCACCATTATTCTTCACAGAGTCTGAAAGATAAAATAAACAGGTTATTGTAAATAAATTGTGTAGAAAATATGACAATATATAACAACACAAATATAAACAACATCTTCAGAATTGTATTTGTAACAAGTCCATCTACTGAACTCAAACTACTCTGATGGCCACTAGGGGGCAGCCGCTGGCCACAGACAATGTGCTGCCATTTTTATATAGCACTAACAGGGTTATTCACTAAATGGTGAAGAGTTTGGAGAAGGCAGGAGAAGTGAACAATATAGGCCAAAATAGCTGATTTGGAACACATTCTCCAATTCAGCTCACTTTCCATTTCAGCTATGTTGTCCTCAATTGTTCACTTCTCCTGCCTTCTTCTAACTCTTCACCCTTTAGTGAATAACCTTGTTATATAGTTTTTTTCTGCTTGTCTATAGGACAGAGTGCTGCTTTCATATTAGAAACTGAGCAGTTTAACCTTAGATATATGCCCGCTGTTAAATGTAGGCTCTAAAAACCAGCTAATGCATTAGTACTCTATTATTCCTATTCTTCATATGGATTTAATGTTACATAACAATTTAGAGATATTTACCTATGAAGTCAATAGCTTCATTGAACCAGGAGCTGATGTCTGCTTTGTGGCTGTCCTCCACCGGGATACTTTTGTACTGGTAGTGTTCCTCAAAGTGATTAGGGCAGTTGGCAGACACGTTGATCAGGGCGGTAATGCCAAGGGTATCCAGCATATCTTTTCTGGATGCATGGTACGCACTTCCCAGGTAGAGAAAAGGCAGGATTTCCACGGGTCCTCCCTGTAATACAATTGTAACAGACATGTTTAATCATCTGGATATACATTCATACATATTTAATTCACGGGTATCTATGGGGAGGCTTAAAATATGACCAGTTGTGTTATGTTTACAGTTTGCATTACAGCTTATTACTAGGGCTTGTGTTTGAGGAAGTACAATTTGCCTGTGCGATTAAGTAACGCAGTCAATAGTGTTTACAGCTCACTATTGTTTCAGTGTTTGGCTGGCTGGGAGTGGTAAGGGAGGGGGGACAGCTTGCTCGGCAGGGGATTTTAACTCTTGCAACACAAGGGGAATACTGACCTGATCATACAATGGGGTGCTGCAGGGGGTGCAGTTGGAGTCAGCACTGCCTGGTACACTGTTGGCACTGAGTGGCAAGCTTAGTCCTATGGGGGGTGAACACTTGTTGCAGAATTCTGGATATTCAGAGGAAAATGCTTCATATCCACCTGAAAGAGAGAAAACCAAAATGTCAGTCATTATATTTCATCCAGTGTCGCTGATTAACAGTTATCAGTGGGGGCTTTAAGTAACCCCTATAGATATAAATGAAGAGCTAACAAAGACAAGTTTGGGAGGGAAGCATCAATCTACCTCTGTGGATGACATTTCTCATTGGGGGCTTCAAGTGATCCCTATAGATATAGTGGTTATTGTATTAGTATTGTACAGGAAAGCAGGAAGAGCTATGAAAGGAAAGTTTAGGTGGGAATCATCAGTCTACCTTAATGGTTAACACTTCTTAATGATGACTCTAAGTGATTAACAGAGAGATAAGAGATTAAAATATAAATCCAATGAAAGTTTAGGAGGGAAGCACCAGTCTACCTTTATGGTTGATATTTCTCAAGGTGTGTTTTAGGTAATATATAAAGATAAGAGATTATTGATATAGAGATTCTTGTATAGGAAAAGGGGGAAGAGCTAACCATGGCAGGTTTAGGATGGAAGAATCAATCTACCTTTTGCGGTTGCCAATTCTCATTGAGGGATTTAAGTGATTAATACAGAGATAGGAGATTCTAGTATTGGGAAAGGGGGAAGGGCTAACAAAGGAAAGTTTAGGAGGGAAGCATCAATGTACCTTTGTGTTGACATTTCTCAATGGGGGGTTTAAGTGACTATAGTATAAGAAAAGAGGAAAGTGCTAACAAAGGCAGCTCTAGGAGGGAATGATCAATATACCTTTGAGGAAGAAGATCCTGCTGCCTCGGGGGTCTCTGCACAGGGCACTGACTGCCAGCATCATGGTGCTATCTTTCCTCAGGGTCTCCAGCTCGTAGGTCCTGTCATCCACCAGCACCACAGCCTCATACAATCCAGCGATCAGCCGACCCCTGTGCTCTTCATTGGGGATGATGTGCTCCAAGCCCATGCTGCCCTTCGCCCTCCTCTTCACAATGGTGCTGAACCTGACATTGCTGGAGCCCAGGATGTGGGCAGAGCTGAAGGAGAAGAACGATCTACAGTCCAGGATCAGGCATGTGTGTGCCCCGTCTGCCAGGAGTGCTTTCAATGTGCTGCAATCCATGCCACAAATCTCCATATTGACCATAGCTAGGCGGCCGACACTTGCCAAGAGGGTAGAGATCAAGAAGGAATCCGAGCTTCTTCCGTTAAACACTGCTCGTCTTGTAACAAAGGAATCAATGACTACCTCTCCTTGCTGATGCAGTTGTCTTTTTTTTTTCAAGACTACTTTGTCTAATAAAATAATAAGAAATGATGAAGCTTAAGCCAGGCTCGTGTCTTGTGTTACTTTAGCTGTTGATTCTTGGAGCTGGCTGGCTTTAGCTCATGCTGCACTGAACACTGCAGGCTCCCTATTTATACAGAGCGGGAGGAGGCTGGCTCTGCCTCTCTCTCTTTTTTTTTTTTGTGAATGGCTTGCACCACGTGGACTTTCACAGTGACATCATTCCAGCTGTAGCCGCGCCCCCTTGTGTTCTGCCAAGAGCAATGACGTCGCCCAGCCTGCAAAGTCAAACAGTCTGAGTGGCCCCGCCCAGGCAGGAAATAAACTGCTGTAACCCTGGGCAGCCGTGGCTCAGCTCCGGGGAGCCCGTACTGTGTTCCTATACAGGAGGGCACGCTATGTTCTGCGCACATACACAAATCTTTACACGGAGGGGCTTGGCTTCTGGACGCTTTTCAAAACATTTTCACTCACAAAGCTGGAATGTGAATGGGGAGCAGAGTGAGCTCATGCGTGAGATCTCAGCCTGGAATCTGGGCTGTAGCCCACCGACACAAATTCACAGCACGCTGATCCCTTATGGTGATAGAGGGACTTGTGTTTATTCAACAAGAAACAACAGCGACTCTCACTTCAAGGCACTTACCTCCGCTAGAAGCTGGAATGTCTGACATAGTTTACCCAAAAATTCCAAAACATCACTCTGGGCTT